CATCTAGAAATCTAATAAGAATGTGGAGGGGGTTTCAAGATTTGGGGGGGGGCCCACTTTACCTTGATATCTCTCGCTCGCTGCGCATCAAACATAGCTTTCTGATCTAAATCTAGATCTGGATCACCCTCTCTGATCTGGATCTGCATCTAGATCTAGATCTAGGTCCAATTAAGCGGGGTGGGAACTACCGAAAAAACGCCCAGTTTCCTTGTTATTCCACACGAACATTAGTGCAATAGTAAAACTGGTAGCGCGTAGACAACAACAAAAAATTAAAATAAACAGCACCGTCTAGCTAGATGAAACAATGGTGTAGCCCTCAGCTGACTCCACCAACACATCTCGGCAGTATACTACACACACCACGCGGTACATTTTTTTGCCTTCACTTTTGAAAGTGAAGGGGCGGGCGAATGGTAATTCAAAAGCAAACACACAAACATAATTTAACTTGGTAATCCGGTACTAAATTGCGTTCCATGCGTGAATTTTACTAATTTCGGGTCGCTGATCACGAAAATCTTATTATTTTTTTTATTTCACGAATATTTAGGAAATTTTTGGAATGTATTTTCAACTACACCTGGGGTAACATCAAAGAAGCCGCTCCCTCGTCGTCACTCCTTCGGTTCTCCAGCCGGCAAATATCTGGCTTCGCCAGATATCTGGTGGTTGGACAGAGAACCCTTCGATATCAAGAGGATTGCTCAGTTTCCACGTGAAATTGACAGGATGCCGGCCATCCTCTCGATATCCCACAGTTTGTCGATCAGCGAACTGTACATCTAAATGGGGCTTAAGAGGTGGTCGGCTTCCACCCTGCCTCACAGGATCATGCAAGCCAAGTGTGACATAGAATCCCATCAGAAAGACTAAGGTTTTGTTTTAGTAAGTGGTTTCTACGCTCAAACTACATAAATTTATATGAGCGCACGAAACACACAAGTTTGTTGCATTAACAACGCTCAGGTTAAAAAATGTCAGCCAAATTCGCAATGATGGGCAGTCCTGTCTTCCCATAGAGCCAAAGAAGTTAAAATGGAGGTAGTTGCTACCCTTGAGACTGCAAAGAACATTTTGTGATTTGAGCGAAAGATAACTTCACCTGATGAAATGGTAAAAGAAGAAAGCAAACTTACCTTTCACCTTTGGCCTAAAAGTGATCCCGTTACTTCCTTCAAGATCATACACGTAAAAACTTTTATGCTTGGAGCCAATGATGACTTCACTTCCCCCACGGCTGAAGTGGGTGCAGAAAACTGGGGTTCTCTCCAGGAACAAGCTGTGAATCTTTCGGTTTTTGCTTCCGTCAACCTGTTCAAGGGGACCAAAGACCTCAATTTCTTCCTTCATAAAATTACCACAAAAAAAAATTAAAAAAAATAAAAATTAAAGACCCTTCTTGTCTTTCAATACAGATGGAAAGAAAATACTGGAGGAAAGAAAAGTAGATTGTACTAGAACAGAGACAACACTTTGTTTACAGTAAGATGTTCATACGAAGTTGTCTGCAATCAATCAGTATGATAACTACACGTCAAAAGTTGACAATGGAAATAACAACCCTTTCATAAAACACACTGTGTATCTTTTTTTAATTAGTCGTGCAGAATAATGGAAACTGGTATCAATGATTCAACCAAGTGTGCATAAATTATGGAAAACATAAGGCCCCAAATACAGTGAGAAATCTATATGTTAAAAATTAAGACTTAAAATTCAAAGCACAAGTATAAGAAGGAAAAAAGTGAAAATGACATGAGATTTCAATTTACGAAACAAAAAAAGTTTTTTTTAAAGATTAGAAGCATTGAGCAGTGTGAAGTTTGACAGTCAATTCTCAATTAATTAAGTAATCTCTTGATTCAGGCGCTGATCTAAGCAATGAGGTCTTCTTCGTCTTTTGACATAGTACTCACAGCAAAAAGTCGCACTGTATTGTCTGGCCCTCCTGTTAACAGAACTGTTGCTTTTGGATGAAACTCTACTGTTCTGAGACTCGCCTGTAGCAAGGAATGGGAGAAGAGAGAAATCAGGAAGGTTTAAAAAAAAGTAACAGACACAATCAGATTGCAATTTCCATCATCTTATTTACAATAAAAATAATGCCTTTTTAGAGCTACAAACATATAAAATGCAATGGTCACCTATATGAATATGGTTTACCTGCATTTACATTAACATGGAATGTAAAGTCAATCTTCTGTTAAGACAAAGTCAAAGAAGGATGAGAACAATATTTCAAAGAACTGCTCACAAGCAGCCAAAACAACCTCAAATTTCACACAGAAATATAAGAAAACCTGAGAGCCACCCATACTAACAAGTTAAGTGGAAGCAGCAATAAATAAGAGCCTTAAAAACAAATAACCATGTATTAAATTTAATACAATAATTTAACACTTCTTCAATGGTCTGTCCATCTGTTCCTGAATAACTTTCTCAGACACTCGTTCAAGATAACCCGAATCCTCTTTATGCACGTCTGAGATGTGCTCCATGTCTCACATCCATACAGCAAGACTGACTTAACATTTGAGTTGAAAATCCTCAACTTTGTTTGGAGTGAGATATCCTTGGGTCTTCCAAATCCTATTCAAAGATATGAAAGTAGCCTGCGCCTTTTGGGCATGGGTTTTAACTTCAATACTCCCAAGAGGATTCAATTTTTTGTGGTGGTTGTGTTTGTGTTCCGGTAGGCGCATTGCGACGCAGATGTTGGGAATGTTGGGGTATAAGGGGGCGATTCGGATAGGGGACGGCATGAAGCAGGCCGGGCAAGCCCAAGGGTAGTTGTGGGGAAGACGTCGAATTTCCGGGTTTGATAGGCCACTGCATTTGCTGTGTATCCATTTGGCACAGGAGGTGCATCAGATTGAGTAACCACGGTTGGTCATGTTCCTGTTGCATATTGCGCATGGGTACATCTCATCAGGTCCAGGGTTGATTTCGACGTCACCGGTCTTTATTAACAGGAGACTCAGATCAGCCGGTTCGGCTGAGTCTCCGGACAAAAACCTGGTCGCCTCCGTTTCTGTCTGAATCCAGGGGTTGATTGGCGTTCGGCCCGGAGCTGTACTTGTTCCGGGGTCTGCAGCACCGCGTAGAGGTCCCAATAATGACTGCAGTTGCGACATCCATGGGAACGACCGAGCTGACGCCCTGGCCAACAAGGGAAACCGCCTCGGCCAGTCCAACACTGCAGTCGATTTCGCGTCAGAAAGCTCATGCATCTCGCGTTACATCATTGCCCATGCATGGGAGAAAGCGCAAGTGCATGACTCCGTCGGGGGAAAAGTGTAGCCACCACCGGAAAGGGACAAAGAGAGAGACCTTACCGCCAGACAGAGAAGAGTGTTATCGCAGCTAAGATGCAACGCGAAGAGCCCCATCCTGCAGGCGTATCTCCATGCAATAGGCTCCGCTCCCAATGATTCCTGTCTGGTGAGTGGCACAAGTCCTGACGACCTGCAGCAAGCACTGTATGAGTGCCCGCGGGGGGGGGGAAGCACATCGAGGCCAACTTATGGAGAACAACGCGAGACCGGGCCCGGATGTACTCTGGACGAGGCCACAAGAGGTTGCCTCTTTTCTGTCTGCGAATGGTAGACTGCTGCCCTCCTATCAGAGGCCAGCCAGAGGAAGGAAGGAAGGAAGGATTCAATTTTTTCTGGTGCATTTCTTTATTTTGTGTCTTGCTCTTTTTGTAATGCATCTATCCATAGGACCTGTGACTTTTCGAAGTGGATCCTCAATAACCGACTCTGACTGGCTATTTCAAGGTGAAGTCTTTGTTTGCATCTGTTAATGGGTGTGTGACAAAAGCACCAAGCCATTTGCAAAGTCCTGATCATCCAACTGTATCTTTGAGGTCAACTGTATGCCATTCCGGTGCCCTGTAGTTGTTTCCTTCATAAGCCAATCACAATCATCAAAATGAAGAGAAGAAGTGAAAGTAAACATCACTGTCTTACAGCAGTCTTGATGTCAATGAGCAGGTCATCACAAACAACCCTACAACTTGTTATTTCATTTCATACATGCTCTAGATGAGGTTCCCGAACTTCTGCAGGATTCCATGATGTTCCAGTATCGCCCACTCTATGCTGTCAAAGACCTCATAGTCAAAGAAGTTGACAATCAACTGAGAATTCCAAGGGACTTCCATTGCACTGCCGACCATAAAAAAAGGTACCACCCTATATGTTCAATCAGTTTGTCCTTCATTTAGAAATTTTTTTTTTTTACCAAGAAATTGAAATATTTGACAGATAGATGAAAATTACAAGATTTTTTTCAAGTAAAAGCTTCTCTTTTACGAGTGAAATTTGACAACAGGGGTAAAATCCAAAAGTCACACATCAGTAAACAGTATAATCTCCAAGTGCATTCAGCACATCAGTGCATCTCTTCACCACAGAGCACTCAATTCCGCCAGCAAAATGTTTCAGGCACTGGTGAGAACTGGTGAACACCGCACTAAATATAGTGTCAACTCCTGAATCAATTCACTGAGTTGCGAGTAGACGTGATCACATGCATCGCACTAAATATAGTGTAAATTCCTGAATCGATTCACTGAGTTGCGAGCAGCAAGTGAGTTGCTCGGGGGTGAATCTCCGGTGTTGCTATTTGACTTGCAAATCTATTGCTGCTCATAGAAAGGTTGGCTGTATTTTGTCTTGGCATCATAAACTCATTACATTTTAACAATTAAGATTCATACATAGTAGAAATTCTTTGCTACAGCTCTGAATCACTGAATTGCACTGAGGTGAACTGAGTTACTCAAAAGAGTTGGGAGTTGATTCCGGAAGTGGGAGTTGCGAGCAGTGAACGGAATCGATACCGGAATCCAGCACTACTTGTTGCAGCTGTAAAATGGTATTGGGACCACGATTCTCGTCCCAAGCAACACAATCAACCCTGTCCCACAGGTGCTCAAATGGGTTCAAATCCGGTGAAAGGGCAGGCCGTGGATCCAATACAGGGATGATATTCTGGATTCTTAAAAATTTAATTCTGAGTGGAGTGCACGGAGCACTGGTGCATTTTCCTGTTGGAATGTCATGGGTTTATGGTATTGTTGAAGAAATGTGCTCATATGGTCTGATGTACACTTTTATACTCCCTTCGTGGTGTTCAAATTGGAACTAAGAATCGTTCAAGGTGACTGTCCATTGAATTATTTTAGTAATACTGCATGCTGACTGACGATTAAAAATCCAGGAAATTCTTTTGTCATTGAAGCAGTTGTCCTGAAAAGATTTCTCAGGTGCATCATATCATTCGAGCTGGCAGGCATCCAGAATCTCCTGTTTTGAGGGGCATTACCGGAGATTGGTTACTCATTTTTTTTATTGGTAAGATGTTTGTCAGTTTACTTGGTGGTGGTCTGTTCAGGAGGCTGTTGAAACGTTCCACACTCACCCATCGTTTCAACTGAGCTTCCTTTCCAAAAAGGGTATTCCTTCTTGGTCCTTTACTAGTACATCTGGATTCCAATATTTTCCAACAAGAGTCACCTTTAACTGTTATCCTTTACTGTTCTAGTGCATGGGCTCTTGATCCCCTTGTACTGCTTGCATTCACCTCTTATGTCTTCAGTAGTCCTCTATTCCCAATTAAATTCAGGGAGTGTTGGCGAATCCATTCCTTATGTTCCTAGTGTAGACCTGCATGTGAGCCTCAACCAGATTGTCTGAAAATTTTGCGCAACCCCCCCCCCCCCCCCAAAGCCTTTGTGGGTGTCATAAGGAAGAACATCCGAGTAACGAGCGACCACCCCAACAAACACAATAAAGAAGAGACCTAACCCTAACCCTACCCCAAAAAGAACCTGCAACGCGCCTCATGTAAAAAGGCCAAAACAAGTCCTAAATGAAAAAAAAAAATTAAATTAAAAAACCACACTCCAAAACAAACAAGGAGCATATAGATCTAGATCTAGATTCTAGATCTATATGGCTTACATCTACATTGCTATAGGGTTTGATACAATAACACAATAGAATTGGAATATATATAATATGAATCCTTCATATATATCTAGATCTAGATCTTGTAGAACAAGTGAATAGGAATAGGCCTTGAACTAGAAATCCGCATCCGATTCCGAACAGAGGGACTCAGCTGAGTCTAGATTCTAGATCTTTACTAAATAAATAAACAATTCACGCACCTGATGAAATGCTTATTTTCACCAATATAAAAATTACAGCACAACCTATGATAGGGTTTGACACAATAGAATTGGAATATGAATCCTCCATTGAGGTCTATAATGATCTATATAAATCTAGATCTAGATTCTATTAGAACAAGAGAGTCGGACTTGAATGAATCCACACGATCTGAACAATTAAATTAGTCAACAAACGAAATTCAAAATGGCCGTTTGAGCACGAAACTGAAAGTAGATAATTTAAGTTGTCGTCCTTTTTCGTATTCGCATTTCTACTTAGGTTCCGACAATTATGTCGGAAACGTCGGCGGTGCGCGCGTCGGCGGTCGGCACGAAAACGAAAGTGCCGACGAAGCCGACGGGAGAAAAATGGGTCGCTGGCAGTCGGCCAGGCCTCGCACTACGCACATTGACTGATACAGGCGGGCCTAGCGATAGCATCGGCCGGTTCGCGATTGTCGGATTTCAGACGATTGTCGGCAAACATGCAGGTCTACTAGTGCTTCTTCAAGAACTTCTTGACATGTTGAAGTAAAGACCTCTTTGACCTTGATCCAATGCGTCACCAATTTCACGTCCTCCCCACCAAGATCGATCAGAAGTTGAAATCTCTTCTTCAACGGTAGCGGAAACTCATCCTTCTTGTGTCCGTCTAAGAGGCTTACTTTACACCTCGTTCTTTTGATTCCTGTTCTAATTCCGAGCTTTTTTTAGATGAAGCTTGAGTTTTGCTAGCAGCGGATTATGATCCGATCCAACATCTGCCCCTCTCTATACTATGAAATCTTCCAGTGACTATCTGAACCAATAAGAGATACA